CCCTGTATATATATATATATATATATGTGGTGGTAGAACTTCTCGCGGTAGAATAATTCTACGCGTATATAAATCACAGTAATAAACATGTAAAACATAAAATTCGGAATTATATACGACGATCAAGAGCAAAGGTAAAACAATAAATTAGATAATTTTAACGAAGCAATTAGGTAAAAGCTAAAAGTTTCGATTTATACAGCTCGTTAGCACATGTGGATGGCATATACATTTTTACAATTATTCTCTCTAGAAAAGCATGTTAAATCGATGTATCAAAGTCTTCTCGAAAGTTTCGAAATGTTGTCAGCTCTTTTCCGCGACGCTGATTGGTCTCTCGCTGCGCTAATTTCGTGAGCGGTTGTCACCACATGTTTTGACATTGTATAGTCATCAACTAAAAGGTTGCGACACTTTTTATTTTGATGGGTTTTTTTGGAACGCAGTTTTGCTCGGAGTGGAGCGGTTAAATGTAATTGGTTAGATCCATAGGAAGCAATCGCTCGAAAATAAACTGTGTTCTGAAAATGATAAAAAAAAGTGTTGCAATCTTTTAGTTGATGATTATATCTATTTGAGGATATAATAGTGTAATATATTGTAATAGTGTAATTGTATGCATTTAAACGTTGTCCATTTTTTATATGTACAAAGGTATATACAAATACCTATTATAATTATGGATAAATATTAATGTATTTTAGAACATTATTATTTTTTTTTTTCTTATAATATTTTACATACATTATATATATTATATATGGATGTTTTTATAAATGTTTTGCATGTTAAATCGATAGTCGAATCTATTGAAATCTCGAAAGACTCGAAATTTATTGTTGGCTCTTTTCCGCGATGCTGATTGGTTCTTTCGCTGCGCTAACTTCGTGAGCGGCTGTCATTGCATTGACTTTTGACAGTTGTATGTTTTGAGGTTGATGTATAATTATAGTCAATTATAGTAAAAAGTAAAAGTGCAGTTAAGAATGTATAGTACGTACAATAGTAGCAAAAAGTTATTGGAATTTGATTTTGGCGAATATTATGCTCTTCTCATATAGTAAGTATACTATACATATAGAAATAGTTCTAGTTCTGAATAAATGATGAGATTCTGCATAATCCTTATTACTCAAATTATACGAGAAGAGCATATTCGTCAAAATCAAATTCCAGTAACTTTTTACTACTATTGTACGTACTATTCATCCTTAAATAGCGCGCGTCTGTAGTGCCAATATAGTAAAAAGTAAAGAATAAAAGAGTTAAATAGCGCATGCGAAGCGCTCGTGATGTATAGTGTTTTAGAAAAAATAACGAAATTATGCTTAAAGATAAAGAAAATGCGTGGGCAAACAGAATTGGCGGACACTCTCGTCCGAGCAAATATCAATTTGTAAAATACGTGATAATAAGTTAAAACGTTAAAATTCGCCGATGCGATGAATAAACAATAAATACAGAATGAAGTATTATTTATCGCGTGCTAATTAAATTAAATTAATTGACTCGATATCCGTTTGAACGTATATTCAGCGTATTTAAAAACTTGTTTGTACGACGCAGATTTTTTTTTCCCGATTGTAAAGCTTAGCTTTCATAAATTTATAAAGTAATATCGTACGCTTGATTCAGAGACGGACCATATTCGGAAAAAAACCAACAATCGACGTATGAGCTAACGAAGTGCAAATCCATAGAGTTCGTTCCGAACAATTTGGGTATATGCAGTTCACGCTTGATTTCACCACGTTGCGCCTTGTTGCATCGAAGTGTGCACTGACGGATACGTGCTGTATCGTACGTGCTGTACATGCTATCAGGTTAGCGATATCGTTGTCAACTTTTTATATTAGACGAGATATTTCCCTCCATTTCACCGACTTGTTCAACAAATATTTATTCTAATAATCCCTGGTAGAAATGTATGCAGTTTTCATGGGCGGAGATTAATTTTTTGGCATGTGGAATACAACATCGTGGGGAGGGGGGTAGTAAATATTGGATTGATTTTCTTTGTATATATACAAATATATGTATTTGTAAATATATGTATACCCGTACAATTAATAAATATAAATATTATTTTATTACTAATTGTAAGTTGCAACTGCAAAGGACATTCTTCGAGCGCTGTTTTAACAAATAAACTCGTCCATTAAAATATCTATGTTTAATAGTTGTGTATTAAGAACTTTGTGAACATGCATTACGTTATTTAGTCTTTTCCGACCCAATCAGTCCGCGTCTTTACTTATTTGATATTTCTATCCATATTTGTTAAAATCCGCACAAATTTCAATTTTTGTTTCTCAAATCTGGCATATGGAAATTCCACATGCCAGATTTCTTGTCTGTGGAATTTTGTATCTGCTCCACACAGTCTCCGTCCATGCAGTTTTCCTAGACACTTATCCAATTACTGTCTAGTATTATTATGTCCATTAATTGTAACAATATATTGCGTCGGAAATGGACAAGAATTTGATAGATTTTCATTTATAAAATACGAACTATCACTAAGACAAAACTGCTAATTTCATGAGCTGCAGGTTTGCTTGTTAATTAATTGAAGTCCATTTATTGCCTCGTTTTTGTTCAGTAAGTGAATTCAGATTTTGCGCATCTTTTGTGTGCAGTAACTGCAGGCAAAGCGTTACATCTTGATGGGAATTCTAAAGAGTTTTACTTCTCAATTACTAGATAGAAGTTAATATATAACTGTCTAATAACTGCCCAAAAAATGTTTGAAATTTCTACTAGATTTTTATTATGTGATTATGCAATAAATTAATTCTTTTTATACAATGAAGTTTACTTATGATAAGACTGCTTTTTTGTTGTATGAAGTCAAGTCTATACCTACTTTTGATTTGTAAGATACAACTTTGTTTTCTCCACTGTTCGCGGAATTCTAATGTCTCGCTCAGAGTGTTACAATTTCATTTTAAATCTTTAAACGTGGCCTTTTTAATTTTTGTAATTTTTATAATTGTATTCTTTTATGTAAATACTTTGTGTAGCTAAAAACTACTGTTAAAAGAAGATAAGAATTTGTAATATCTTGATGCACTTGTGTATACTACCGTGTGTAATTATGAAAATAGCTGTAACATTGAAGATTGACAAGAAACGGGAAAAAAAATTCCTTTTAAATTTTTGCTGAGAAGAAGAAGATACATCGCTAAAATTGACATATACGTTTTGTAGGAAATGACAGAATAATCGGCAGGACGTGAGCAGTTCTCCGAATATTATACGCTATTATATACATATAATGCGAAGAGTATCACGATGGTAATGTAATTAGAGATTGTAAGCAACTGCAAGAAGCGATTAATCATGGAGCTGCCGGCAATTTGGTGTACATACACTGGCCCGTGCTCGATTCTGCTGCATCGAACCGCATACATGTTGCACAGATGCGCTTCGGCAGTTACCCAGAGTGCACTTGTGCTATGCACTACCGGTCTGCACATTACTGCAGCATATATCGTAACGCAGCGTTCTTCAATCAACATTCCGTGGGACCGAAGTCATTTCTACAATTTTGTGTTACTTAGCAAACAATTAAGAGACAAAGGGAGAACTTAAAATGAATTAAATTAAATCAAAATTTCTACGTTAAATTTATAATATCAAATTACTCAATTCAAAATTATCAGTATCAAAGTACCTAATTTAAGTCCTTTTTTAATTCTTTTTATATTTTATCCACATTAATCCTTTTTAATTCTTTCTATATTTTATCTGCTCCTATTTAATACATTGTTAATTTAATTGAAACAATGTAATTAAATAATTTAACTGCAGAAATGTAATAAATTTAATTCAAATTTAGTTTATATTTATTTAGCATATTTAGTATATATATATATATATATTTATTTATTTATTTATATACGTTAATATGAACATTATTTACTTTAAAATTAAGTAATTCACAGAATTGATTAGATATGGTTATCTCTTTTAACCAAATGTTTTATCTTAAAATAATACTTTATATTAAAAAATAATAATTATACTATTATTAAATTAAAAAATAATATTAAAAATAATTATTTAGTTTTGACACACATTGGAAGTTAAAAATAACGAAATATTATTTAACTTGTAAAATTGACTTATATATGCTTCTTTATCATTTAACAGTACAAATAAGATTATTCAATGTGTATTTTCACGTATTTTGCCTTAAAAATAAATTTTTATATTTACCTAAATTTTCTGAAAGTTATTTCTATAAAAGAAAATGTTTATATCCTTTTACATTAATTAATATTAAAAATATACATTTTGACACATATAGAAGTTAAAAATAACGAAATGTTATTTAACTCCCGGAATTGATTTATTTATGCTTAGCTTTAATATTTAACAATGTAAATAAAATTATTCAATGTGTATTTTACCTTAAATATAAACTTTTGTATTATACCTACGTTTCTAAAAATTATTTCTATAAAATGAAATTTTTATTTCTTTTTATACCAATTAATATTGAAAAGGTGTACAAAAGTATACGCAAATCTAGTTATATAGCTGTCAATTTAGAAAATTATTTGCTATTAAAAAATAACATAGTCGTTAAAAAAAAGATTGATAAACACCGATTCGATGTGATAGGCAACTTGAATAGAAAAAGTGTGGGCATAGGTTTTCATTAACGCTCGAGTGCTAGAGATTCAGACAGGCATCTGCTCTCGGCTCTCCATCTCATCGCTCGTCGTGTCGCATTAGTCTCGACCACCGATCTAAATGCTCGATTGATTGATCGATGGGATCGTTGGGAAATAGGTCAGCCGAGTTAGGGCGGCTTATTCATCAAAGGCGAAAAGTACAATTTGCCGAAAAGACACGCTTATGTAATATTTTTCTTATTAAACGAATAACAAATCGAATCAAATTAAAACGTAACGATATTGCGTATAACAAAAAATGCAACTGTTCGAAAAAAAAATCACGCGATTCGTTCACGTTTGTTCAATCGATGTAAAATACACGATTTATATCAACAAACGGATCAATAATAAATGTATAACAAATAAGGTGGGATTTAAGATTAGTGTTTTATCATAGCGTTTACCGTCTCGATTGTGTCTGCTTAATTCGGATTTACGTATTCCGTTTATCCGAACGTATCTGCTGTATCAGTTACGCCGACGCTTGTTCCAAACATGCGTGTTTAAAATACTCATTTGTTTGGGGAGTGGTTAATTTATCGCGTCAATTGAAAACGAATGCGAAACCCGAAGTGACACGACGTGACAAAAATATCACAATGGAAAACTGATTGCGATCACCTGCAGTTGTCATATTCCGTCCCGTTCTGTCATAGAGATGGCATCGTACGCACACTCGACTCGCTGCAGTTCCGCGATCCGCAAATAATCGTGCAAATTTCGAGAGTGCGCGCGTGTTTATTTAATTGGGTAAAAATCGGAACCGAACGCGCATATACGCGTCGCTTTTTCAAACAAGCAAATCAAATATTCTCCGAAATCCGGCAGCTGCGGTTTCGCACAAAAGAGAGAGAGAGAGAGAGAGAGAGAAAGAGACAGATTGGCTGATGCTTCATGCCTTTTCCTTATTGAAAAATTCCATGCATGTTAAGCAGATCCGCGGGTGACGTTGCGCTTTGATTTGCGACTTTACGATTCGCGACGTCGCGATCGTTACGCTCGGGACGCATTATGCTGTATCGTAAAGTTGAAAACTTTATTCCCACGGGAATTTTGCGCGAAATTATCCTTTCCGCCATTTTACATGCGAAAACACGTAAGCGAGTGGCCTTTAGCTCCATCGCGTATTGATCAACGATCAAAATGAAAAAAAACAACAATAAAACGCGATATATAATAATTATATTCACTCTTCTGATATTGCTAATTATAAATATCTACAATTTTTTTACGTTAAATAGTCACAATGTTAGCGTTACATTTTATGTTTTTATGTTGAGAATGTATTGTTCTAATTGGATAAATTGGACGAAGAGTAAAATATGCAATCGTTGCTCGTATATCCAGTTTTATCACAAACTGTCATCCGCGTTTTACGCAATGGCTGCAGATTATCGTTGTTTAGATCTTTGATATTGGGAGAAAAACATCGTGCGACATACACACGTTCAGAGATACGACTGTATTTATATCCTTCGTCCGTTCTCCGGTTTTCCGGATAGGGTTTTTCGTACTTTTTACGCTTTTCATACCAGTCCTATGACGACATTAGATTCATTGTTTTCCAATAGTACGAGAATAGACCACCTGGGGCATCACGTCGATCGAATCATGGACATCGATGTGACGGATGATTTACGCGTTCGCCGACCTATAGGTTTCTCTATTATGTAAGGGTGTACACTTTTCCAGATAAAGAAATCAAAAGCATTCTCAACACAGGATATGAGAAGATATGAAAATCTAATATAAAAATTTGGTAATTTGAAACTGTACTTTTAAACTTACCATTTCTAAATCTATAAATTCGCGTGAACCCGGTCATTTTTTTGTTCAATTATGCGCCAAATTTTCAGACAGTGTTGTGAAACTAACAATATGAGCCAAGCTCGTCAATGTAAAAACAATCAAATTATAAAATAGACCAAACTAACGAGCACTAATAAGGTGACGTTTAAATATAAAATATAAAATTTATTCAAAGCGAATAGGCGCGGTACATGTTTCGGCTTTACTTAGCCTTCTTCAGCCGCAAAAAATCAAATAATTAGCGACAAATACATGAGTTACATGAGTTTACAACTCGATGTAAACAATAAATTAGTGTTTAAAAACGAGAGTCGAATAGTAAATATGAATAGTAAACATGAAGTAATCAGCGTTAAGAAATAGCAATTTAAGAGTCAATATAATTATAGTGGTCGTCGAAATTTCTATTTTATTCTGGAGCAGTCTCTTTGTCCACATTATAAAATGTCTTAACAGAGTAGAAATTTCGTTGGAAGTATTGTGAAAATTTGTCAAATAACCGAGTTAATATCGTCAATAAATCAAATGTAAAAAATCCACAAGTTTCTCATATATGGACAAAGGAAAATAAATTCAACTAGTCGCTGTCATGTACAATAGACGAATTATCGTCCATTGTACACGACAGCGACTAGACGAATTATCGTCTATTGTACACGATAGCGACTAGTTGAATTTATTCTCCTTTGTCCATATATGAGAAACTTGTAAATTTTTTATATTTGACTTATTGACGATATTAACTCGATTATTTGACAAATTTTTACAATACTTCCAACGAAATTTCCATTTTGTTAAGACATTTTATAATGTAGACAAAGAGACTGCTTCAGAATAAAGTAGAAATTTCGACGACCACTATGATTATATTGACTCTTAAATTGCTATTTCTTAACTCTGATTACTTCATGTATATTTACTATTCGACTCTCGTTTTTAAACACTAATTTATTGTTATACATCGACTATGTAACTCATGTATTTTTCGCTAATTTGATTTTTTGCGGCTGAATAAGGCTAAAGTAAAGCCGAAATATGTACCGCGCCTACTATTTGCTTTGAATAAATTTTATATTTTATATTTAAACGTCGCCTTATTATAATAAGGTTAGTTTTGCCTATTTTATAATTTGAGTGTTGTAAAAAATTGTAATTTATAACAAATCATTTTTACATAATTTTAAGTTACATAATCTTATTCTTCTGATTTTGACCTTTAAAATAAAAAACTTGTTCAATTATGTTTACGTTTAAGCAAAGTTACTTTAATTTAAGGTTTTGTTGAATACATCGGACCCGCGAATACCAGTTAAGGGGGGAGTCTGGTTTAGCACGCTAAAAAATTAGGTGATTTTTGGATTTTTTTTTTTTTAAGAAACTATACCAATTCTTTTGAACTTTATAGGGTAAGTTCTTATACTATTGAACTAACAAAAAAATATTTTTTTGCCAGAAAAAAGTATTTATTATGCAAATAATAATAACTTTTTATTCGGCGCGTTGGCGGGCGGCGTGCAATGTAGCGTCGCTTGTATTTATCTGAAACAAAAAATCCAAAAAGATTATTGTTTATTAAGAGTTTACGCATTAACTGAATCTATTTTTAAAGAAAATAATGCGAAATTGTAAAAATCGCGATACTTGGAAAAAGAAGGTAGCGATTTTAACCAAAAATTTTTTATGTTAATATGCAATAAAAATTATTTAATTAAATAATATTATAAACTGTGGTTCAAGTTATCGGGGAAGTATTTGTGCAGATGTGTGCAAAGGTCCAAGTCAATTGGATGAATAGTTTTTGAGTTATCTTGTACGCTGCCAAACACCATTACCGCCGAATAAATGTTATTACTTGCATAATAAATACTTTTTTCTGGTGAAAAATATTTTTTTGTTAGTACAATAGTAATATAAGAAATTACCCTACAAAGTTCAAAAGAATTGGTTGAATAGTTTCCTAAAAAAAAAATTCCAAAAAATCACTTAATTTTTAAGTGTGCTAAATTAGGCTCCCCATTTAAGGAAATTTCAGAGCGGTCACCGATTAAGGTTAATTGTAGCTTTCATCGAAATTAATTGTCATTAAAAGTTATTTATAATCCTTGTATTATAATCATAAAAAGTCTAAGGGGAGATTTAGAGTAAACTGTTCTACAGCCGTATTACAAATGTTATTTTATTATGACGAAGTTTTGAGACACTCTGCGCACAAAATGTTAGAGATTCTAGACCCGCTTGTCTTTCCATAATCGTCTAAATCCGCTTGTCGTGGAGGACGCGCCACCGTTTCGCGTCTCAAGCAAGAGCTCGTTGGAAACACCATTGGCTAAACGGTAGTAATCTTGGAAAGTCGATGAACACGTTGCTATGGAAGACTCTTATCCCCTTCGCAGATCGCAATTTGCCAATCATAATAATCGACCGTTATCATCGAAGCTGGAAGTATCTTGTGATATTGAGGCTCTCACGTACTTTTTGTATTTCATATTACACAGTAAATCGGAGAAACTAAATCGAAACATTGAAAATTCTTTTACAGAAACCCTTGAAGTCGTTTCTCGATTTATAAATAAGAATTGAGTTTAATTTAAGGGAATCTTTTGAACTTTTCAAAGTGATGTCAGAAAAAAGTTATTGTTTAGAAATCTTATTGTATTTATATTATTTAAGATACTAAAATTATTTAAAAAGGATCTATATAAAGAGGGACTTTTTATTCTGTAAAAAATATCAGAAATTTCTCATTCAAAGACTCACACGGTTGTTATTTAATTTAATATATTTTTATTTATTTAAGAGTAGTAAAATTATTTAAAAAAGATTTTTTAGAGAGGGACTTCTAAATATAGAAATTTTTTATTCAAAGACTGCCAAACGGTTAATATTTAATTTAATATTATATTTCTTTTATTTATATTAATGTATATAAGTACATTATAATCAAAATACATCATAATACATTATATTATAATATATATTTTATCAGTTTTCTCAGCTTGATACTGTTCTCAGTGACATATGTAACGGAGTTCTCGAAGTGAGTCCATTGTCCTCGCAAGATCATTACAGTTTCCGTGGCGACAAGAACGACATTGTCTTCGTCGCAAGCGACCGACAATTTCATTACGTATAAACCCGTCCGTCTGCAACACTCCCTACCGGCCAAACAGACTTCCGGAGAACGTGCTGCGAGGCTAAAGGGACAAAGGCAAGAAGCGCAAAAATCCCAGCAGGATCCCGACGATGAAAGATGGTGCGATACCTCTCCGGAGAGATCCACGATTCCTTATTCTCAGTCTCGTGGAAAATCACTCGAGGCATTTGTTTTTTTTTTTATATCAGTAATACTGAAATATTGTGCGTAACAAAAAAAAAACATGATTACAATACGCGATGAGGAATACAATTACATGCGTGATTTAATGGTATCTCGAAGAAAATCAGAAAATTAATAAAGATTAAAGCGATTAAATTAAAGTGAAAATTTTATCGTGCCGTTGTTATCAATATCATTATGATTGCGGCGAGTTATCAGCGGATAACAGCATTCCAACCAGGTTGTTGCAAATGCTGCAGCTACATGCGACGCAATGAGCTGGAAATTTATTTGACTGAAACGACTGGATAATACCTGTTATTATCATTGTCATTACAACATTTTGATTTATCTCGATTTCAAAACAAATACATCGTATAGTATACTTAACGATTGCATCTATCACATCTGTCGATTGAAACTAATGCGAGGTACGTATAAATTGTTTGCCGCGCATTCGCTGCAATTAATTAATCAGTTCTTAGGTATATTTCTCTTAGGGAAAAATAGACGATCGCTCTCGCGATCATTTATCGAGAAGAGGAACAATTAATGGATTATCTATACGCGGTGCATTTAATCTGCTCCGGGTCGAGTGAGACGGAAACGTTCTCTTGGAAACACTTTTTCCCTCGAATGTTGCGCACTTAATTCCAAGATGTCTCCCGCGAGAGATCTTCCGCGCCTTTTCCGACCCGGAAAGATAAACGCCCTATCTGCGATAGCTTTAAGCAACGAATTCTCTCCGCAATCGCCCCCCCTCCCCCCTCTTCCCCTCGTAGGCAAAGCCCTTTTCCTTTCGCATTATCGGATCGCACATCTGATTCATTTCGCCCGAGGAGTCAACCGCTACTAAAAAAAATGCACAGTTATTACCAATTATAGCAATGCAATACACTTTATTGCTATAATATTGCTATTGTATTGTTTTTATAGTGTTTCCAATAATATTGCCATCTATTATTTCATGTATTGCCGTCTATTACCTCATGTACTGCCACCTATTGCACAATATTGCCAAATATTGCTAATGTAGCGTTAGATATTGCTCGAAGTATTGCTATGTATTGATAGCGTATTGCTGGTATTGTATTGCAATTTTAGCAATTCTAGCAATATATTCCTAAAAAATGTACACTGATTCCCATTCTAGTTGACCCTTCGATTTCGCCTCTCCTGTCTCGTCCAGTATTCGTGGCTTTGAGGAACTTAAATATAATAATACACACAATAGAGGTATTGTATCACGCGTGCTATTCAAGCTCGCTGTATCGAATTGCTCGGGCGTTTCGATACGCACAAACGTGCTGGGACAGCTTATAATAGCGTTATGCACGCGGTATCCTGATACATTCGATGAACACTGACAGCAGCAGCGGCAGCTCGCACATGCTGACGCACCGGTGGCGTGTCGGTGCGTGCATAATTTAAGACTCGTCGGTGCCACACGGGCGCGGTACCGAGCATAATCTGACTTTACAGCACGATGCACTTAATCCCAACTGTCTTCTTATCGTAAACTCGATGATCAGTGAAATTGGGATGCCGTCAAGTTGTACGGACATACGCTAATAATTTTGTAGGCGAATGCAGGATGCAACATGTTATGATTGACTGCATTTTCCCACCTAGCGATTAAATCAGTGCAGAACGGCTACATTTTTATTCTTTTAGAAAAAAAAACTTAATCCATCTGTCGCTCTGACGCCGCGTTTCGGTATTTTATTAAAAATACTTCCCACAGTCAAAGTTTTTATAAAATATAAAAAAACTTCTTTTTTTTATTATTACGAGAAATAAATACTGATGTATAATATAATTCTATTTTTCCTTTCTGTAACAAATATATACATATAAATTCATCGTGCAAATTCGATCTAACAGATCGGAGTCAGGCGTAAGTCTTAAGGGGATGCTGACGTCGTTTGTTTTGCAACAATAATTTTTGTATCGAGATTTTTTCATATAATTACTTTAATAGATTTGGAAATCCTTTTCCAGAAGTGAAGTATACGCATTAATACTGGTCTAACGCTCGGAGTTATGCCAACAAAATTTTCATCTCTTAGTTGTATGTGGTGTCTAGAGCTGTCAAGTCGAGACATCATGTGCAAAAGATCTGTAACGTTCGTATTTGCGAAAATGCGATGGCTAGACTAATAGATTACATTAAGAAACAACATGAAGTTTTTAAGATTAGATTTAAATACTTAATTTTCAAAAAATATGTGCATTAAAATACGATGTATATGTGCGATATTGATGTAGTAAACATAAACACATTACTACTCGTCAATTTCGCACACATATCTATATACACGGAAAAAAAATTGCTGTTGCCACAACCTAATAATTGTAATAATTATTTTTGCCCATCAATTTAGTAGAGTTATAGGAACTAAAATACTTTGGAAGTGATTTATATAGTTAACTGAACTCTCAGTCTCAATGTTGTGACGTGCAACTATATTATATATATATATATCTCTCAATCATACTATTTGTTGTACAGACCATACTAGAGAGATAACAATAATGCTTCGGTTGAGGCAACATATATGAAGATATTCTAACCGAATATTATTTATCCTAAGCACTACGGTTGTGACAACCGTACTGATGAGCATACCTTAACAGATGAATGCCATGTAACATCAATATAACTTAAATTCACATGCATTTCTTTTCCAAACATAGAGAATATTGTTGTAACATCCACAGCAATTTTTTCCGTGTACCTATATACATACCTATATACGTACAAATCATCAGTAAGCGATATTATAGAGTACGGTCGTCGCGTCAGCATCCCCTGAAAAAAAACTGCTAATGAAGAAGGATAATTTAGATTAACATAAAATCTCAATTTTTTAATTAATTTTAACTCTAAAGATTTTAATTTTAAATTTAAGCTTATCGTATCGATTTCTGCTGTCGTTATGTGCGAAAAATCCCCATCTGTTATGCATGTGATCCGTAAGCTTAAAATCCCCCGAAACCGAGAAGGATTTTATTCGCTTCCGCTAACGCAGATGTATCGCGTGCAAAACCATCAGCGGAACGGTGCTGGTGAATTTATGCAAAGGGTTACAGTTACTCCTTTTTTTCGACGAACAACGATCAACCAGTTTCCTCTTCCTTCTCCCTTCATCCCCCCCCCCTTTGTTGATCTACCTTGATTAATGCGTGATGCGTGATTTCAACGGCGGCTCTTTCTCCCCATCGCCGATTCTATCTCTTCCTTTCTCGCTCTCCATTCTTCTCTCATCAATCCCGATCCGGCGGAATCCATCGATCAGCTCTGGAGCAGGGAAATCGCTTTGGGCTCGCCGGGAGAATGGACTACTCGCGGGGAAACTCGCGCCCGCCCGAAGACGGGGTCAGCGACGTCGCTCGTTTTCGCGCGCGCTCTCGTTTGTCAATGCCCGCCGTCATTTGCTCACTTATATTTTCACTTCCGCCGCCTTTCGCGACGGTGATGTTTATAATAACGGGACCAAATTATTAATTAAACGTTCGTGTTTTCTCATTTCGATATGCTTCAATCACTGTGTATTGCATACAAATTTTATTATTTTTCGCATCTGACGAATTCCGTGATACTACTGCAAATTCAGGCACGCCATATTTATACGATAAGCGAAATTATAATTTATTCATTTAATGAATTTCTTAACGACCGACGTCATTGGAGATTTATCGGCTGACACGCGTTGCATCTTAACCCTACGTACATTATACACAAGCTGTTTTTTTGACAACGTCGTATACACACTGGGGTCCCGGGGACCCCATCCATATTTATTACTGTAACTAGTAAAAATGGACATATTTTAATTAATATTTTTTTTCAATCGATAGAGAATCAACAAAGGAACAAGCCCATAATTTTTAAAAGTCGATAGAATTGAGAAGCTCCAAGATATATGGGTTTAAAGAAAAAAAAAGTTTGAAACGCGAAAAAATTTCGATTAGTACCTTTTTTAAAAAATCATATGTCTTTTGTTTATAGACCGATTTGAAAAATTCTTGAAAATTCTGAAAGGGCATACTTGAAATAATAACAAAAAAAAATTTGGCGACCGATATTTCAATTTTTTAACAAAACTGCAAATAGTCCCGGGGGCCCCACGCTCACTTTAACTGTTCACTGCTCGGTTGTTGAGCGACAATTGCCGCGCATCAACACTTCCTACTGATTGTGAGCTCTCAAAATTTTTTTACGTCAATATCCTAAACTCCTCCCCTTCCAATTTCAGAAATGCCAAACCGAGAAAGTTTCGCTGGGGTTCCGGGCATACCTCAGTGTGTACATCTATCTGAAACTTTTTTTACGTCAATATCCTAAACCTCTCCCCTTCCAATTTCAGAAATGCCAAACCGAGAAAGTTTCGCTGGGGTTCCGGGGACACCCGAGTGTGTATATCTAGGGTTAACGCTCAACGATCGTCCAAATGGAATTACATTTTGAATTGCGAAGACGTGGACAGTAAGACGTAACAGTAAACGCGGAGACAAATAACGGCCGTTGTACATCTCGGGATTAACCAACTCGGAGGTTGCCACTGGCGAAGTAAAATGCGCGGCATGACCGAGCATGACGCTATTTTTGTCCCGTAATTGCAAAAAATTGTACCCCTAAAAATGCGCGCCTTGACGTGTCTTAATTTCATTTAATTTATCTCAATTACGAAACAAAATCCAGCGAATTTGGAGTCGACTCGCTAATTGAAAGTCTTCAGCAGTAAACGAGATCTCGTTACGTTTATAAATATCTTTATAGGAAGTTCGCTGTTCCTGAAATCTTTTCTTGAGAAAATATCTATTCTAAATCTGCCAGAAAATCCATTATAAAATTTTGACAGTTTGTGCTTTTTTTTACTTCTTGTTCTACACATCTCATCCTTCATTGTGCTTTCGTAACGCGCTAAAACACAATGTGCACTTTCGAGATTTATCGAACGAGCTCAACGCTGTTTACTCACGGCGACGGTTAGTGGCCGATTCGATAGTGGCGATTCTTGTAAAGGAAGATAATCCCGTCGAGTTGACTGACTCGCGGAGGGTAATGTTTTGTGTGCAATACATATTAAATTACGCATCTCTCAGTAATCCCCATTGGTACCTCATAAAGTACCAACCCTGAGATATACGAAACGCAATTTCTTAAGCTTACATGGAACTTTTCCCTCGAAAGAAAGTTACGGCGCTTGACTATTCGGGCGGAGTTTCGTTTCGCCTCTCTGCGCCAGGAAAGAGAGAAAGAGAGGTATCCAGATACCTATTTATCCCGTATTTACGCGACGAGCTCGTTGAAATTTTCGAGGGTCGTAAAGGACCGTGTCGCGTGCACCGCCGTAAAATGTATCGCGGTGGTCGCATACATAAAACACGCGTAACATGTGTAACATACGTTGATAATACTATACGCCCTCACTTCAAACTACTTCGAAGATGTCGACCCGCGCGCGTTTATTGCCGAATGTGACTCTCTAATTTCCATCTCGCGTTGGACAAGCGCAAGACAAATAACGCTTAGTTTCGAGCAGTAAATTTAATATTAACTCCAGAACACACACACACGCCACCGCGTGCAAAATTCAATAAAGGTCCAACTTTTAGGAAATGCGATGAAATATTTACAATATTCTTTAGAATAGAATTTTACTCGTATAAACATTTGTTAATGGAAGTTCAGAAATATCGTATTTTTTTTTCTCTTTTTTGTTCGAATGCAGATTCTTTTTGAATTTGAATTTAAAGATGACTGTTTATTATAAGCATTAAAAGCGAATATTAAATATTGAATATTAACGAATAAATAAATATGTAAATATATTTCGAAATATGTAAAAAAAATTCAAGAGAAGTCAAATTTAAAGTAAAATTTTGTTAGTTAAAACTTTTTATACTTAAAATTCCGCAAATAATTCTGCTTAATTAATTAAAGGTTATTGCTTTGATATTTAAAATAGCGAATAACCTATTAATACCATTCGTTTTTATTTACATTTGCGTATTTAATTTCTTATAATTAGGAAAGAGATTTGGGAGCATCTCTTATGCAAATGATATCTGAATAACGACAATTAATCTTGAACACCTTTCTGTCTTACTGTCACAAGCACGCGGTTCATTGGATAAATCTCATTGGATTCCGTCCAATAATACCTCGAAATTTCAGGCGAGTGTAGACATTTTCGCATCGGGCGTATCTTTCCAGTGTTTCTCTGCGCATACAGCATTGGTCGATAAATCATTTTGGGCATGTTGCATATTCCCCAAAAACAACATGCATCATTGTGGTGGCTAGTTAGAAACATTTTTGGATCGGTGCCATCAGCATCGAAGTAGTTTATCATTCTGATACGTCATTATATTAGTAATTAGAATTAAACACGCAATTAAGTGTTGTAATATGAGTAATACAATATACTCTAAAAAGAAGAGAGAGAGAGAGAGAGAGAGAAATGAATTTCGTGTTTGCATAAAATTACGTTCTGTGTACAGCTATACAAAATATAAATTATGAATCTTGGAATATTAATTGTAATTCTTAAATTAATGTGTTAACTAGTGCGTGAAACTAACATATACATATGTTTTCAATTTATATATTTTAATTTTTAAGTTAATTTAAAAATATTAGCAGTTATTTTTACTTAATCCATATATTTTAATGTATTGTATTTCATTTATTCCAAGTATTTTATAATTGACCGATTTCAGTGTTATCTTTTAATAATCATTGTAATACACATACAACGTACAAATTTCTTTTATCTCTAATTTTCTAAATCCTGGTTTTGTAATGTGCGTAACAACGACGTGTTTGTCTAACCTCGAAACTGGATTCGCTCGTATAACTCGTATTAATCAGAAGAAATCCCATCAGAGCAGATTGCAAAATCGGTCAAAATTCGAACCGACGAGTCAACTGAGTGCAAGAGGATTTTCTTTCGCTCACGAGTCGCGATTCTAGAAGCGACATGCAGCCGAGACGTGTTTACCCACGTCTTCCTGAAAAGGACACTTCCGTACGTTCCTAGAAGCGGGGAAAGCTCCCATCTCTTGCAGCCAGTGGCTACTCCCGTCATCTAGTACGACAAGCCTCTTAATGGGATCCTGCCAGGACCTGAATACGCAAGGGAATGAACTTGGATCTCCGCTCCTTCCAAATAGGACATTGCGGCGAGAATTTACGCGAGTCGACTTAATTGTAGAATTAAACCGCAGATTTTCTACGTTTACACTTACGCATATATTTTTATCGTGATATTATATTTGTATTATGCATAAGCGCGAATATTATGATTCTTCGTGCAAAAATAAGTCGAAAGTATGAAAAAAGTATGAAAAAAGGAGAAGAAAGTATTTCTCGATAATTAATCAACAAGAATCTTCATTTTTAATCTAATTTTATAAATGAGATATTTATTTTTATCTTAAACCACTTTACTATTTTAAAATCAAAATCTTAATAGTATCTGAGTTATACACAGCTATATATAAAGCTAAAATTAAAACACGTGCGAACTTCAGATTAATTGATAATTAATTTTTTTTAAAATTAAGTAGTTCACACACCTTAGTTCACACACTGTACCTACACTGGATTAGCATAACCCGGCATCTTGTTTGGCTTGTATCTCGAGCTGTACTGTATAATGATTTTTAAAACGGATTAAAACGATTTTTTTTTCAATTGATTCGCCAAAGATCGAAGAATACAAAAATGCATATTAGATTTTTGAGAATATTTTTACAACAAAGATTTGTATGGAAAAAAGAAATGGACAATTTTAAAAATTGATTTTTAATCAAAATCGATTTGGGTTACGCTAACCCAGGGTGTGAACTCTGAGGGTTAATACTATTTAAAAAAGTGTACGGAAATCGAATGTAGAGTTGCAAGAGAACCCGTGCTTTTTTACAAGTCGCAAGCTCGCGAGTCGTAAAAATAGTCTCGGAAACATCAATATCGCCGACGGATTAGCGAATGAGCCGGATTCGAAGATTCCGATATTTGCCACTTCGTTTCGTCAGCATAGCCGTTCTATTCTTGGAAGAAAAATTCACTCGTAGACGAACGTACGGCACGCGAAGACGAATCGATATAGGCCGGGAGGAGGGAAACGGCACAGAATGAAAGAGGAATGGAGAAACTTTTTAATCGGGTTACGTGAAATTTGCGACGAATGAAATTTTCATCTGCGTCACCGTTGGCGTTTGCGCCGTAAAGCGCGCGCCTTCAACCACAATAAGGGTCTCGACACGAGTGTTTTATTTGCCCATCGCAAACTCGCGATTGCTCAAAACGTGGAGCGCGAGAGCGCAATTTTTATATTTTTTACGGATCTTACTTACTTTCCGAGTAAGAATTCAGAGCGACACGAGGCACCATTAACTTAAACGCGCGCTTGATTCTGTCCCGCGAGACTCGAGTCGCTTCCTCGGAGCAACGCGGAAAGATAATCGAGTTAAGCAAGCGTGAAATAAGCTTCTAACGACGTTTTCAATTTCTGGAAAAAAAAGGAGCGAGCAAAAGCGTGGGACATTCTCACAACTTTAAATGTGTCAGAAAATTTTTTTTATTAAAATTAAACGAATTGTGGACTATTCTTTACATGTCGTACTTTAAGTATATAGGATATGATTTCTTCGTTTTTTAGTTAAAATACTGAAAATGGGGGAATTAAGGCAC